GACTTTGTTAGCATAGAAGTGACAAGACTTCTGCGAACATCTTTTTTGTGTGTAATCAGAAGATCAGCGGGAAGAGTTGTTCATGAAAAAAAAAAAAAATGTAATATAATATCAATTTATTATTATTATTTAATAAAGATTAGTTAAATAGTATTCTATCTATTAATTCTTTAACCACTATTTTTAAAGAAGTATTCTTTCTAAACTATAGTATATGTTTTAAGAATAATAAAACTTTTAAACTTTTTTTAAAAATTCTTACAAATATAATATCTATTTTTAATTTCTTGTTTTGTTTTTTTTTTTAAAAAACTTAGTCCTATAAAATAAAAAAGTAAGATTGAATAGAAGAAATCAAATGAAAAAGCATATTTTTTTTCCTTATAGAAATTTTAAAGTTTAGAAAGAAATATCAAGACTATCTAATTTTATATTGATTTATAAATCAATATTATTATTACAAGTAATGATTTTTTTCTCAATATATAATAAAAATTTTTAATTTTTTGAGAGAATTTTATTTAAAATTAAAATAGAGACAATACTATAAATATACTATATAATTTGAATATACATATTGAATTAATAGATCAAAATTAAGATTAAGGTTTACTCTAGAAATATAATTTTAATATATATTTTGCTAAAGCATAATATAATCAAGTTGTAAAGTTTTTTTTTAAAAAGTCTCAATTATTTGAAATATAAAAAATAAATTATATATTCTTTAGATTCTTATTTATATTAAACTATATTTTATAAATTAATTAGTACAAGTTCTTATCTAATAAATCAATATACTTTTCTAATTATATATAATTATATATAACTTTTTCTTATGCCTTGCACTTTATATAAGATTGAATTTTTATTATTTTTATTTTTCTCTTATTATTTATCAAATTGAGTAAATTTCCTAATAACTTCATAAGACTTATTATGAGTAATTAATTCATATAATTATAAGATCAAGTTAGTTGAAAAAATTTTTTAACCTTGATAATATCAATATAAAATAGTTTGAATATTTTTAATAAAATTTCTTTCTAATATAAAAAATTATAAATCCTAATAAATATTATTAAAAGATCAAAAAATTGAAAAATACTTTAAAGATGAATGTTCTTTGACTGATAGATTACTGATACAAATATTAGAAAAATGTTTCATAAGTTTTGATATTGTGATTTTTTTTCTCGAAATAATTATATAGATTTACTTAAAAGATAATTTGATTAAATATATTTAAAAATTTAATAAGTTATTTATAGAATTCTTTTTAGACTAAATTTTATTTCAAATATTTTGATTGAATTTGATTTAATAAAAGCAGGCTACGTCAGTTTCCAAAAAAAAAAAAAAAAATAATTCAATAAAGACTAGCCATAATGGTATATTTTGGATTTAACAATAAAATAAACTTTTAAAATTATAAAATTAAAATAATATACAGTCTACTATTATTGTTGCCATATATAGGTCGAGGAATGATGTATTTTAGTTATCGCTATACTGCGCACCTTACGTTCTGTATAACATAATCAATAAATTTATTTAAGGAATTACTGAAAGGCAAATAATTACATAATTTTGACCTACACTATGATTGTCACATTCATATTTAAAGCCCAGAATGATGGTTTAAAACGTTATTCGGTCGAATTATCATGGTAAAGAGAGAAATGCTTTGCTCACACAAATTTTTGTTACGACCTCAAAAATAATTTATTCATTCATTTGAAAAAACTTGCGTAAACTTCTGCAGTTGGTTCGCGTTCGTTCAAAAGAAGGTACCTTTCGTGTCGAAGTTGAACCGGAAGAGAAAATTTCGACTTTTGGAACAAAGGTGCAAGGATTATAAACGCTTTCACCAGATCACTCTCTTGTCTAATCGCATTGCCTTACTATATGAACACGCATTTTTGTAAAATTTGTAGATCGCAGAAAAATTAAACCTTCCTGATTACTCTTCCATTAGAATATCAGACGGCCAAACAAATTCTGTCTCAATAAATGACCATTTAGACAGCACCGTTAGCCAAATTGGAATCAGGTGAAAATCACCGCAAATTTTGAGCTCCATTCCTAATAACATTCATTTTTTTTTTCATTGAATCGTTGACTTTTGATTTTATTTTATTCAATCAAGTCACGGCGATCTTATTTACATTACATTTGAAGAGACCAGCAGTCCAAATGTTCAGGATGACAAGACGATAACAGGCAAATCTTCTGCGCCAGTTGATTTCAAACAAGACCCTGTCGACGACTTTCTGGAAAAGCAGGACGGATTAATAAAACGCGAGAGAGATCCAAAATTGTATGCCAAAAGAGACAAATATTCTGTTTGCGCGTCGGTTATAAAGGAATGCGTAAAACTAATCTACCAATCCCTCAATTTTCAGCTGTAAACACGCTGCCAAGGGAATGTGCGATTATTGTATGCCTTTGGAGGTATTTTATCGCCGTGTGATCTTATACAATTAGCTCCTCCATTATTCCTTTACTAATCGATTTCCATCGCTCCATAATTATCATCGAATAATAAGCCTTATGACTCCAATTACCTCGCGGAAAATCGAATAAAACATTCGTCTTTTCATGCTTATTTGCGCAAAATTAATAAACAAAATAAGCAAAACGTCAAATTTATTCCACCATTAGAGGAACCCGATTTTCATGTAAAAACCAATTGTTTGGGTGGTCATGCACCATGGCCAGAAGGTATTTGTACAAAGTGTCAACCAAGTGCTGTAACCCTGCAACCTCAGGTACCGTACGATTATTTATCAGTACATCCCATCCCCATAGCTTCTTAATGTAACGATTAATTCATATACAGCAATACCGTATGGTGGATCACGTGGAATTTTCGGTGTCCAGTTTGATTAACAATTTCATACACTTTTGGCGATCGACTGGTACTCAACGTTTCGGCTATTTATATGGACGCTACGAACCATACCCCGATGTTCCGTTGGGTGTCAAGGCCGTTGTTGAGGCTATCTATGAGCCTCCACAGGAATGTGAAACAGATGGATTAACACTTACCCTTCCGTGGAACGATGAACAAATGGTTGATGAGGTTGCCGCACATTGCGGGTTAATTAAGGTTGAACAGGATATATATTTCCTATGCACATCGCTTTCAGTGGTGCTGCTGTTTTTTCTTTTCTTTTCTTTTTTTTTTTTTTTTTTCTAACATTGATATTTCATAATTAACTTGGTAGGTTGGAATGATTTACACCGATCTAACCGATGACGGAACGGGTTTGGGCAAGGTAATATGCAAGAGACACATCGATTCTTATTTCCTCTCGTCCCAGGAATGCTGCTTCTCTGCGACCATGCAAATCAAGAATCCGACAGTATCCAAATGGAGCGCCTCAGGGAAGTTTGGCAGTAGATTTGTTACTTGTGTGGTAACCGGTAACAAGGACGGGGACATTGGTGTCGCAGCATATCAGGTTTCAAACACTTGTGCAGCCATGGTATCCGCCGACATAATCGAGCCAAGTGTTGATCCAAGTGTGGTCCGTGTAAAGGAAAGCACCTCGGAAAGATATGTCCCCGAGGTGTTTTATAAATATAAAAACGAATACGGTGTTAACGTGCAGGAGAGTGCGAAACCTTGTTTCCCAGTGGAATATCTATTAGTAAATGTACGTGGCTTAAACGATCCTTTCATTTTGTGTAGCAAGGAAATTAACATGTGTCAAATTCTTTAGGTGACTCACGGTTTCCCACTCAACCCAATTCCATTGTTCATTTCACCTACGAGTTTTCCTGTTGAGAACCGAAATGGCGTGGAGACCCAAAGCCTGAGAAGTTTGTACAAACATCTTGGACTGGCTACTAGTGGCAACGTTCATGTTAACTCGGTATCGGATTTCCACCTGCTAGTTTTTGTGAAGGGGACCAATTTGTTGGATCCGGTATTCATTATTTGATTTCGGTTATTTTCTCATTGCATCACTGTCCGTCATTTTATTTAAAAGGATTTCGTTTCATAATCACAATTGAAATATCCAGGGTGATTTTGCGGCACTTGCGAGGCTCGCGATATCACACGAGGAGAAGGATGCCATTCAATTATCACAGAGTGCGGGATGGCAAACCTTGGTGACCATTATGAAAAGTGGTGAGTTATTATTATTTTTTTTTTTTAAAAAAAAAAAAATTATCGACTATAAAATTATTAATCACCATGTCTTAATATGTGATAGAAAATTCCAATGGCGATGGAGATTCGCTAACCAGTTTTTCGGACACGGGAGTTGGTGTCGGTAGTAGCAGCAGTGGTGCTCTTGGATCGGAATGGAGTTGTAGGTACTGTACCTTCACCAACAACCGTACGGCAATAAACTGCGAAATGTGTAATTTACCAAGGGATTCTTGAAAAACATTTTAACAATTTCACCTGCAATTAGATCATTGTATCATCTTTACACATACCTATTATGTATTATTTGATTTTCACGATTAAGAATTTTTTTTTTTCAGAAAAAAAAAAAAACAAATCGAGACTTCTTAAAGGTCGAAAATTTTACTTTGGCATTTTTTATTTACCTTTTTAAAATAAAAAAAAAAACAAGGTTTGACAATTGCTTTTAATATTGAATATGTTAAACATTAGATGTTTCGGAGTTTCATAATCGAATTTCCCGATGGTGCGATTATCATACTCTTTTAAACAACGGCGATGACGCCGATTTGTTCGATTTAAAATTATGCATATTTTTATATTATCCCTTTTATTAACATCGGGCAATGTATTTACAAACAAAATAGACGGAATTATTTTATGTTCACAAGCTGATCACAATCGTCGTCCGCGTAGTAATTAAAGTGCAGATACGACGAGAATCATCTATAATATAATTAACCAAATAAATGAACAAATAAATTGAGATCTCGATTGAATGTAGAGCACTCTCTCTGTCATATAACATTTAAGGTCCATCTCAGTGACACACGTCCTCGATTTCGATCGCTAGACTAGTTTGGAAGAGGGGGTGCTCGAAAATTCCAAGATTCTAATGATCGACATCCACTTACAACCCTAATAGAACCATCCAGACGCACAAATTGTGGTCAGTTTATTGGTAATATATTGAATTACTAATCTTGTGCGAAAACCCGTTCCCTATCCTGATTTGGTTGATCCGAAACTGCCAAATCTATTGATTGCGTAGAGCGTTGTATTTTTATGGTCAATACATTGTAGTTGGATCAAAAATGCACTTAAACTTGTTGTTATATAATACCCCATTAGCTTTTCCATTTCGGGACTGATTTCCTCTTCATTGATATCATTTTTTCCGGATTCACTGTTATTATTTTTTCCTGACTCGCCTTTCTTCTTCGCTTTTTTGCGTTCCTTCCTACGCCTTTTTTCCTCTTCCTCCTGCTTCTGAGATTTCTCTATCTGCGCATCAAAATCTAAGATTTTATCAAAGTCGTTAGAGCGCAGAATAAACTAGATCACCGATTTCAACGTAGTGCGGAGTTCCTCACCCACCATAAACCTCGGGTCCCTCCTCTTTCTTCTTTTTCAATTCGGCCATCTTTGCCTTTATTTGGTCTAGAGTACTTCGTTCAACTTTCATCGTCATTCCCAGAGCACGCTGATCTAGGACATCAAAATGTCGATAATACCGAGTTTAATTCTATTTTTTCGAGTGCACTGATATGCCCTCCACAAGAACGGTGAGAAAGAGAGTAACTTACGTTTCTTTCCATTAATATGATCCAAGAAGTTTACACTGTCCTTAACAACACAGTCACATTCCTTACAATGGAATCCCGGTTGTTTTGCGGCGAGGCCAGCGGACTGGACGACTTGAACCTTGTTCAGGTTCGTATCCAAAACCACTTTTTCGGTACGAGCCCTCAGCAGATCCCGTGGTTGATCGGCCTCAGAACTCGAGTACTTTGACTTTAGGCCCTTGCGTTTACGGTCCTCATCTTCTTCATGTTCACGATCTTGTCGAGCTCGCTCTCGTGCGCGTCTCTCGTACTCCTCCTTGTCCCATGTGCGACGAAAACTTGTGTCTTGCTTCAATTGCGGACAACGAGGTTAGTCATCGATATCTCGGGGTAGCGTCAAAGTTGCACATCTTACCACTCCCGGTTCATAAAATCCTTTCTTCCTTGCCTCAGACATTTTGGAATTTTGAGAGTTCTCAGGGCATGCGTGTACACCGGGGCTCAAATAGAAATACAAATTGTGAGCTACGCACGTGCTCAAATGTATCACAGTACCACCACAGCCGAATTCGGATAGGTCTGGTGTCTATAAAAATTGGGCAAATTTTATGATATTCCGAGAAGCCAAAGCATACATTTTGTTTTTTTTTTTTTTTTTTTTTTGTCCTGAATCTCCTGGGCGTAATTTCTTGAAGCAAAGGAAAATACGGGTCGCACGGTCCTCATGGATAACCCAGAGATCAAAAAATCGCACGCATCAAATCCTCAAGAATGGAAGCCGCTACAGGACATTGTGGCTACTGTAAACTGCGAATCCCGCGAAAAGCTATTTTCCTTCATTCACAAAACTCCGTAAGGCCTCAGGGATCTTTCCCTCTGTTTTCTCACGATTTCCCACAATAGGTTTACTAATGGTGAGCCTTATTTAGTTCAGACACATTGGAAGATCGCAGAAAGCCTTTCATGCTGAACATTTTGGTACCGCAGCGACAACTATACCTTAAGCTCAAGACGCTTGTCAACTGGTCCGAACATGCGGATGTCATTCGAAACTGCGAAGTCAGTGTCCCCGGTTTTCTAATTAAAGAACTATCATAGAATTTAATTAGGCATTAAAATTTTACTCTGTTTGCTCCAGTCATACCACCAAGCTATGCAAAATCAACAACAAAAAATTAACAATGTATTACATTCCCTTGTTGATTTTCGCTATGGAGTAATACCTTACACAAGGTAACGGTGGCTTCCGAGAATACGAAAGAAAACCTACATACATAGATAGATAGTGAAAATGGATTATCAATATTACACATATATTATTATATATTAATTATGTTAAGGCAAGATTCTAATCAGAGCATTATTATTATCATTTTATTAATATCATTATTTTACTCTTCTAGCACGCGATGCCCCGATCTAACGACCTCCATCGATGTACTCACCACGGGAAAATATCAAAGGTTTCCCAGGATAGTCGAGGTGCGCATCATATTTTAGAAAGTCGCGAGTTTTTCGAATTTATCAATGAATGATTCTTGACATTGCGGATGATAGGAGAGTTTAGCACCAAAGATTGTGACTGATAATGAGGTCAAAGAAGCACTGAAAAAAATTAACACGTACATCGAATTGCGAATATTGACCGAAGAAGTACTTCCACCCGCCATGAAAAAATATCGTGTGGCTGATGGGCGTGTAACATTCTGCGTTGACAAGGAATTCGAGGTACGGTCTTGTATGCGCATTTGATGACCAAAAGTTTGGGTGTACCTAAATTTTCAAATGGTGGAAACTTCAGGTCGTGCTGACGCCAAATGTCGCCGAGGAAAATGTCTATTGGGTCATATTGGACCTCAAGATTCTAGTTCAATCGGAAAATGACAAACTCTGCAGTGGTGCGTATGATTTGTGTGAGTGGACAAGGTAACTTGGACGTCATCAATAACCTTTCACCGTTCTCTCCTTCTAGATGTTGATCTGTCTTTACATGAAAATCAAATTGAGCTCATTAAAAATTTTGCACAATCGCTCCTCATTCCTCCACCCATTCAACAGCCTGCGGAGAATTCGCTGCAGGGAAAGGAGATGACCCCGAACAGGACGCCAAGACACCTTCCTTTATTGAAGTTGTATGATTATTTGCGTATGCTCTCATAAATATATCTGTCTTCAGTTTTGCATCATCGTGTTCATGGGAAATGTCTTAAACTCACTCTTCGAAATAGACACATTATGCCTGGACATACAACTCGAAGTCTTGTTTCAACAGGTAATGATCCCTTAATAGTGAAGTCCTTTATTAGAGAACGGAGAAGCTAATTGGCGAATATTTCAGGCATTTCGTTTACAAAAAACGCGTTGGACAGATAATCTATTGGTGGAAATGGATCCCACTCACACAACCTTAAAAGTTCGTTACTGGAGGTCGGTGATCTAAATTGTTACTTCGCATGTGCATCTTGGTCAGTTAAAGTGATAATAACGATCTCTTACAACAGTCATGTGAAGCTAATGGCGCAGTCAGGTACGTCGAAAAGTTGTGGCATTCTTTTTGTCAAGGATCCAACTGGTTCATTGCCAACAATCCACTCTATCAGCACAAATGCAACACTCACGCCGTTCCAATGCTCCATCGAACGTGACCAAGTCTCCCATAAATCACGATGTCGTTGAGATATCGATCGTCGAGGAAACGCCGAGCAAATCTTTGATACACTCCACGCGATCAAAACTTTCGAAATCGAGTTGGCTGAACGCCGCCTCGCGTGTCAAACCTGGTGTCATCAACGACGCACAGGGACTTAATTATCCGCGCAAGTTTTTGCGAGCTCGTTGGAGTGGATTGGCTGGTGAGATTGCCAACACTTGGACCATTCTGGATTGGGAATTTGTGAGTATCTGGTTGTGTGTGCGCGCTGAAGACGAGTATGGCTTAGTTTTCTTCGTGCGAACGTGTTTATCCCGAAAGAATTTTTCTTTTCCTCTTTGCGGTATCCAAGTGGGGTCTATTCTTTGTTTCTCATATTCTCACGTTGATTCCAGGACCCGGCAAACTTAAATTTTGAACACATATTGTTACACGTCACGCAAAAGCACGCTGAGTCTAATATAAAGAGACTCAAGGAGAAACTTTGTTTTAAAGAAAATTTGGAAAAAGACGTGAAAATCGTAGATGGACATCGAGGTTTGTGTGCGATTACATGTTTCGCGATTTGCTCGTTCCCCTCCTGACCTTATATATATATATATTCCCGACTTCCTGTACCTAGAATTTCCCGAGGGTTTCCTGTCCGACGACTCTCCGATATATGACAAGGTGGCGAAAAAATATCTGACGGTTAGCAGATTATGTGTGTGGTTCACCAAAAACAGATATATCAAAGCAGGTGTGGACGTTCGCAGTGGTAGAATCTTTATTGAGGAGAGCAATAGGAGTATAGAAGGTGAGAAATAATAGTAACAACAATACCAATAATAATAATAATCTACTTTTGAATGTATATATTTAGTTTCAATACTTTGGAAATTGACTTTGCGATTCTCTTAAATTGATATGTAAAGAATACATAAAGAATTGTGAGGAGAAGCTTAATATGGCACCAAATCCCCTAAACACTGCCGTGGAAGCCTTTAGCATGATAAAATACATGGCAATGATGGATCAAATTGAGAAAGCAGCTAGATACTTGAGATTCGACATCCATCATGGAGTGATACTGCGAAAGGAAGACGTCAGCAGTTTGGGCGCGAAACAACCCACGTTTCTCCGCTTTCCCCAACAAACGGATTATTTTCTTATTTGTGGAATAGGAGAGCGAGAAATAAAATATTGGCTTACTGTCTTAAGGTATTTTAATTTCGCTGGAAATAGAAAAGTTCCAATGCACGATACGCAAAATTGACTGTCTTTGCCATTTGCACGTAGTCGAGAACCTCCGGTTAAAAGACATCTGTTTGACAAGACTGTGCGAGATCCCACTCACAGAATTACTTTCATTCAGCGGATACCCTTGGAGGATTTAATCGTTTCAGAGCATGAAAAATTAGATTCTATTGTCGACATGATTGATAAAGGTAAATCGGTTGTGTACGAAAACGAGAATTCCGAGATGAAGGGAGGCGAGATAGTTTCGGGGAGGCGTAATTTTGAAGAAATCAATGGTAAAATGGAAGACCTGGAATCGTCACGCAAGAAGAAACATGTGGATTCCGCAGCAGAGTATGTTTGTTTTTCCTTTTTTTTTTAAAGAAAAAAAAAATTTAAGGTAAATAATGTTTGATGTGATGCTCCGATAATTCATCTAAGATTCATTGCATAGATTTGAATACGAAATCATTTTACTCTCAAAGATATCTGCTGTTTGTCGGTACGTAAGGATTTATTATAATTATTATTGAGATAATCAAACAAGAAAGACCGTATTTGACTGTCCTGATGTTTCAATAATTTTTAATGACTAGCGCCCTCATCTCATACCACAAGATGGAGGAACTTCTCAAGTCACACAACTTGTCATTCACCACCATACAGCCCGACATCTCAATGGAATTTATCGACTCAAATACTCCTATATCATTGAATTCGGCAATACCGGTTTTGAAATTGGACAGAAAGCAGTTGTTGTCCAAGCTTCCCATCGAAATAGATAAGGCCCTGCATGTCTTTGGCGATGTTTATATTCGTTATGTCGGTTCGCGTCTGGTGGACTCTTCGATGTCTTCAGTGAGTATCGACCCCAACTCCTAACATTCTAACGATGAAGAGAAAATATAATCCGGTTATTAACACCAAATTTTTATTAGGTAATAATGTTAACATGTCTCAAACCTGACAGCTTGCCTATAATAAGCAATGTTATCTCGATGGGTAAGTTGAGGTTATAAAGCGAGAGTGCACTGTGTTACTGAATATGAAAATTAAATGGGCTTCGTCATTAACAACAGTTATTCATTAATAAATACACCATAGACCGCATTCAATATGATCTCACCTCGCAGATCCTAACTTTTAAATACAGCGCTAACGACTCTTACATCGAAAAGTTCATAAACGACTGGAATAATATAGTGATGATTTGTCAGACTGCCTCCCAAGGTAAATCACCTTGTTAGGATCTCCTTTTCTTTTCTCTTTTTTTTTTTTTTTTTTTTAATCAAAATTTTGATTTATATAAAGTGAAAAAATGCATTGTGAATACGCCTGTGGAGTTGATTCCTTTTAACCTTAGGACGATAAAGCTTCGTTACACGAAGGTTTGTTTTAACTTTCGTAAACATCATTTCAATTGCACCAGGCATCTGTGATTAATTTTTACCGTATCAGGAATTATTTGTTGAAATTGAGTGGAGTGTCGATAAATACGTTCTGCATTTTGGCGTCAACAATTCGGCGAGGCGTAATCCACATCAGAGGATATGTAATTATCTGCAAAATACTTTGAACATTGATAGTAAAGTCGATTCTCTGATTCCAGTGGGTTTTATTTTTTTTTTTGGTGTCAAAATATCTTACACGCGCACCTATTCATTAACACACACCATCTTCTACGCGCCTCATCAGATATTGATAAAAACTGCGCCATTATTTTCAGTTTTGGATGAATTATACGAGAAAAATAATATGCTCACAGGAGGAAAATTCTTGAGCATAATACCTCGATCATTCAATCACATTCGTCTAATCTATTCATCACGGTATGACATACATTTGTTAGCCATTCTCTCCATGATCTGAGTTTGGTAATGACGACACGTTTCTTGACGATTCATAGGTTAACGCCGTTCTCAGCGTCCGAAATTTCCTCAAGGTACGGTTTGGACATAATGGTTCAAGATGACGACCAAACCTTAGTATCGGACGCATCACTATCTTCCAACATCACAAAATTACAGCCGCTATCGTTGTGGGATAAACTCTCCAAATCGGTGGTTGTCGAAGGGAACAATGATGCGAACTCGATTCCCGTGGAGCGTTTCATTTCCCTGACCGAGGGCATCGTCATTCCTATCAATGACTGTCAGAGCATACTGAGATGGCTAGATACGCACGTCCGACAACTTGCATAATTAATAATAATTAAAGGGACCTATTTAAGAATCGTTCCAACCGTGATCATGATGTAAATATTCTTCCCACTTGTATATATAATCTAAAAATAATTTTCAAATAAAAACCACCGCACCCTCTCCACCTTTCCTTTCTCGAATGTTTGTTAACGTTCTACCCTTAAAGCGGTTGCATTCCTCTTTTTATAATTTTCTTTCTCTCGAAATTTTATCCATTCGCAATTTATTCTCAGTAATTCTTTTGCATTTTGGAGTATTTTTCCTTTTTTTTTTTTTTTTAAAAAAAAAAAAGACAAAATTCTGGCTGGTTTTAATGGGTGGATTTAAAAATAGAAAAAAAAAAAAAATTCATTTTTAGAATTTCTTTAACTCATCAATAATTTTTTACCTTTAACCCAACGATATATATTTATTATTTCAACAAGGCTAGTTTCAGTACTTTTTACCAATAATAAAACAATTTGACATCATTACTATTTGTATTTAAAATTTGAAAAAAATAACTTTGTATACCAAGAATTTTTTTTACCCTGTAACTTGGTTTCACATTTTTAAAGTTAAAACATCACGATATAAATTTCAACAAGTTATCTATACTGTAAAAGAATAATTAAGATTTAATCATATTTAAAATTATTGATCGTTTCTCAATAATTTATTTGAAAATCTTAAAAGATCATATTAAGAATCTAGAGACAATATTAATTTAAAAAAAATTTATTAAATTTTTGATATATCCATTCACTCAAAATATTATCAAACTATTGAATTTTTGTTATTATTATTATTATATATATATTTTTTTTAATCTATATCATGTCATTATTATTAATTGAAAAATATCATTCATTATGATATTATTTGTATGATATTTATTCAAAAAATAAATAATTTATAAATTAATCTATTTTTGTTATATATAGTAATTTAATATTTATATTATTTATTTATTTTTTTAAACCCATAGTCAAGCTAGCATAGCATGTTTATTAATTTTTAAGAAAATTAATAGAGATATATTAAGCAATTATATCATTACTAAACTAAATCTCATACTGACTTACTTATCAACAACTTTCAAATCTCAAATAAGCTTAAACTTCTAAGTACAATCTTGAAAACAATATTTTACTCTGGAATAAATTTTAAATAAAGATTTTCCTAACTTATTAATTATTATTAGCAAGTTATTGCTATCTATTATTCTTCAAGAAACTGATTTTGAGAAATTACAATAAAGAAAAAAAAAATAAAAGAAAGGAGAATATCTAAAAATGTACAAATATGCATAAAGAGAAAATGAAAAATAAAAAATAAAAATACACCATGTTCTCTAAAGGACTTCTATTAGAAACTTCCTTTTACTGTATTAGAAACTAACCCTTCTAGGATATTCTTCTTCTTTCTGACTATCTTAGGAACTTATATATTTGTGATCTTAATTATTTTCTTATGACCATCTGAAATACTTATCATCTACTAGATCCAGTGTCTTGCTTGTCACTTTTTTTCTTTCAATATTGATTTTGTATTCACTTGTATCAAGTAATGACTTATAATAGATCTCAGATTCTTATGTGATCTTTTAGTCATATTGTATAACTATCAATATCTTTCAATAGTCATGTCTAGTTAAAGAAATTTTACTAGTGAGTATCTTCTATTGCTTAAAAGACTAGATTCCCTAACAATTTTTTTACTTTATAATAGTAGAAGGGTCTTGCAAAATAGTAGAGATTTTTATCGATTATAATATTATTACACAATATTTGGAAAAATGCATCCTCAATTCTAAAGAAGAGTAGTAGCTTATAGTCTTTTACTTTTTAGTCTTATTGCCTAACCAGAATAAGAAAATAATCTTCTTTGCATACTTTGCTTGACCAGAATAATAAGAAGTTGAAGACCTTAGCTCAAACAAATGACTATCTTTTCACTACTTAGAGAATTTAGTATCCATCCTAATGATCTCATGATTTCTTTACTTCAATTATATTTCATTTGGAGAAGTGGAGAATTTCATACCAATAGATTCTCTTTCTTTTATCAATATTATTATTGGAACATATGAAGTGATCAGTAGGTACTTGTTTATATTTAACTATTAATATGTTTCATATTCACTAATCATATTTTGCAATAGATTATATCATTTAAAATTCAAGATTAAACTAAAGTAGGCAAAATTCTTCAAAAAAACAAAAAATTTTTGAATAACTATAAGAGAAAAGATATTGCAGACAGATATCTTAAAATATGAATTGATATTTGCCACCTCCTACTGCTAAAAATCTCTATAGATATACTTCAATATGAAAGGTTTTAAGTACTATAATATTAGTTTTTCTTCCTTGTAAAACTTTTTTATTATTGGTAGAGAAGAAGTCTCTTGACTTTTTTAGATTACAGAAAACCAATTTTTTGTTTGAAAATAAATATAAACAAGAGAAAAGATTTGAAAGTATCTTTTGAAATAAAACTTAAAGTTATTTAAGAATAGTGTTAAGACTTTATTAGTAAAGAAATAAAAAATTTCTTGCAAACATCTTTTTTGTATATAGATAAAGAATCAGTGAAAAGAGTTTTTTATAAGTTATAGTAATTTAATATTTATTTATTTTTTTTTTTAACCTGTAGTCAAACCAAGATGGCTTGTTCATTTTATTGTAAGTATTTTGGTATTTATATATTTTATGACTTTTACATATTGACTCACATATCTACAAAGTTTAATATTCTCTAGATAAAACTTAGAAGATGATATTTTACTCCTTTTGTGGCTTGGATTATCCTCTAGCCACTCAGATCATTAATATTTATATTATATAATTATTAATATATTTTATTATATAATTCAATATTAACATATTTTTATTATTTTTTTTTAAATTACAATTATATCATGATGGTTAGTCTTTATTGAGAAATTAAAGTATAATAATTTACTGACTTTCACAAAATAATTAACTCATCTTTATACATAAATACTTTAAGTCAGATTTTGGAAACAATATTACACTCTCTTAATAGATTAATCATAACCTCTATCTATCAGGATAATTGTCAAAGTTTGTTACTGTTGATTGCTTAAAAATCAATAAATTGCTAAGTTAAAAAGGGAAAAAAGAAAAATGATTGAGGGAAGGGAACAATTCAAGATCTATCAAAAAAATCCAAAAATAAAAACAACATCTTTTCAAAAAGGATCTACCTGATTGAGATAATCTTCTTGTTTTACTTGAATCTTGAAAAAAAATTTTTTTTTTTTATCACTTGCAATATCAGACAAGTCAATTCAACAGATCTTTTATTTAAGTGAGCACCAAATTGAGATATCTCAAAAAAAAATATTTAGACCTCAGCCTTTTTTCATTAAAGTTTTGTTACCACTTGAGGAACTTAAGTAAAAGACAAAAGTTTACAATCCACATTATCCATCACTTGATCTTTTGGTATCATGAAAGTTTTTATTAGGGGACTTGAGCTTTTGAAAGCAAATATTTTTGGAATGTTATTAAAACACATGAATATGATCAATAAAAGCTTGTTTACATTTCAAAAACTAATATATTTTATATCAACCAATCCTCTTTGATAAAGATTTGTACTATTTAAAATTTAGAGTCAAACTAAGGTAGATAAAATTCTTCAGAAAATCAAGCTCAAGAGGGTCAAGACAGTCAAAAAGGAAGAAAATAAGTTTTTTTACTATAGAAATCTCTATAAATCTTTCATTTCAAAGGTTAGATAGGCCTTCAAATACTTTACAGTCAGTTTTTTTTTCTTTGAGAACCTTTTGCCATTGGTATCAAAGGTGTTACTTGATTTTTTTTTGGTCACTAGGGGTCAAATTTTTGAGTGAAAAGGTTTGTAAACAAAAGGAAAAGAGTAGAGGTAACTCTTAAGTTATATTTCAAGTTGTTTTAAGAAAAGTATTAAGACTTTATTAACAATATAAAAACTTCTTGCAAATATCTTTTTTGTATATGGTCAAAAGATTAACAGAAAGAATTTAATATTAACAAATTTTTACTAATTTGATATATATAATAAATTATTAATATATTTCTATTATACAATATATAGTATTGTGATCAAATTTATATTTGACCGATGTATCCAAGTGAATTGCTTTTAAAAAAACAATTCCCCAAAGAAAGAATTAAAGAAATGATTTATAATAAAGAAATATTCAAGAAGAGATTCATCAAGAATCCTTAAACAGTGTCACAAAGTGTTTTTCAAGAAATATGGTTCGCTCAGAACCCAAGTTTATTAATAAATCAAGAAAACTAGGACAATTCCTTTAG